TGATTAGTACCGGTGCTAGCCGAGCTAATGGCCAAGTGGAACGAACCATGAGCACGTTAAAAAATATGTTGACTGCGGTTGAAACTGGACTCAATCTTGGCAGAATGTGTTAGGAGAGGTGCAGTTGGCCATCAATTGTACAACTAACTGTGTGACGAAGTGTGGAAATGGGAAAGGTCCATTTGGATTACTCCCACCTAGTGACATTGAGCATGAGGTTGATCTGCCAAACGTAAGAGCACAGGCTGAAAAGAATGTTTTATCTACCGCAGTTTATAACAAGGAACGATTTGATAAAAAGAAGGCGAAAGTAATTAGACACAAAGTTGGTGATTTTGTGCTACTAAAAAGTGAAAAAAGGCATCAAACTAAATTGAGTCCAAAGTTTAAGGGGCCTTTTGAAATAATCAGAGTCCTAGAGGGTGACAGGTACATTTGAAGGTCTCTAACTAGAAAACGAAATAACAAATATGCTCATGAAGGAGCATTGCCAGAGGGCAAGTGCCCGAAGAATTGAATGTGTGAGATGATTATAATAATATTGTTGAGATTGATAATACAGCTGAAAACGGTAAGGACAGTGAAAATAAAAATGTTGAGAATGAAGAAGTCACTAAAGAAAGTGAAGAAGAGTGAAATCACTAAAGAGAGTGAAGAGTACGGCTGGCCAAAGAAAATGGCAGAGTACTTGGTTATATAATAATGCAAGCACAAGTGCAAAACATACTGAAGTTAGTTTTGATCATGGCGTGTGGGGCATTTGATTATATAATGTTGAATGGAATGGAGTAAATAATGTTTAAAGAAGAATGCTGACATAACTACTTATAAAATATAAGTATAATAATAAATAAAAATTATAATTATGTTAAAGTATTGTAGTAATAAAACCTGATGTTTTGTATGAATTGAATTGAAATGTATTGTTAGAAAAAAAAAAGAAATTTAAAGGAACAAGAAAAGAAAGACCTTAATGTTATTATTTCATACACGAGGATGTGTTAAAGTCAGGATGGTCGTGTCCAAGCAAGTAGTCATAATATGTTGGTGCGCACTGTAATTGAGCTTACTACCTACTCGCATATTTTCCCTTTTCTGTATGCCTTCGTACTTGTGCGTGTGATTGTAGTGTCGGTGTGTAATGAGGTTGTACGAGCGTAGTTGTAGTTTTCGGCTATTTTCCAAGAATTGATTTCATCATATTTTATCAGCCAATATTCGCATGTTGTCGCTTAAGAAGTACCGTTTTAGCGGGGCGACAGCGTTGTGTCACTGAGAGTTATCCGTCTAAGAGAGACGATGTGCTATCCGTCAGATGTGACGATGTGTTATTCGTCAGGTGTGACCATGAGTTATCCGTCAGGCGTGACGACGATTATCCTGAACTGTTGTGTCGAAAATATATCTATTGGTTTTCTTTTAGTAACTGAATGGTAAGAGGCGTTATATTCTTGTACTGCTTTTTCCTGAAACTGTTCTGATGGTTGAATTCCTGTTTTTTGCTACCGTTTCTATTTTGTATCTGGGTGTGAGTTTTGGTTTTGTCTCGTTTGGTTTTCTGTCTCTCTCTATTGTGGTAACTTAAATCGGATTTTGTTTTATCTAATAATTTGTTGGATATTATTTTCCTATTTATTTCCTTTTTTTCTATGTTATCCTGAACTGTTGTGCCGAAAAATATCTTTATTGGTTTTCTTTTAGTAACTGAATGGTAAAAGGCATTATATTCTTGTACTGCTTTAAAGAGTGTATCTGTAAAACTCATATCTTTATGGTCTTTTTTTAAGTAAGTCATTATTTCCGACAGAGTGGAGTGAAATCTCTCTATTTGTTCGTTACTTGTTGAGCTATAAGAAGGAGTTGTATAAGCTTCGATACCTAGTTGGTCTTGCACCAAGAACTTTATTAAGGCTGAATTTAGAGCTCGTTCGTTGTCGATAACTTCAGTTTTGGGCATGCCGAATGCAATTAGGATTTCTTTTAATGGGATTGTTATATCTTCCGCGGCTCTTGAATATAAAACCTTGACTTGAACGTATTTTGAGTATTTATCAATGCTAGTTAAAAGGGTCTTATTTTCTGTTA